ATGAGCTGTAAGCCATAATCATCACAATTATGACAAATCACGGCTTGAACTATCTTGCTTTGCATGTAATTTCTCATATATTAGTTTCACCTTTTAAGTTGCATTACTGAAATAAATGAACTTTTGCATAATATTCTAATTTTTTGAGTTTCACCTATATTAGCATTACAAAATTTAAGACAGCAAATCATTTGTATAACAAAGTCCAGTGTAAGAAAATATAGCTATAATGTCATATTATTTTGGTTCTTGCTTCTGTATGGATTGAATTTTTAGCAATTTGAACTGTTCAAATTACAAAATGGAAATAGCCTGTATTGTGACCCTTATGTCTTTGAAAATTTGATTTAGCTACTCAGTTAGCAAAAACTAAATTCTCAGATATATGCCTCGGTTTTCCATAATTCATATTTTTTACATGATTAAGTATTATGAGCCATTGACATCTCACATTATTAATACAGAGTATAGTGGTAAAGAGATCTATACATAAGCAATTTTATTTTTTAAAGTAGGCTTACATCCTTTTACCGTGGAAGAACATATACCGTCCCTTTCAAAGTGTTTGGTTTGTAGCTATGTCAGATCACTGTTGCTTTAGCGGAGTCCTTAATACCCAAATAACAAGTAGTCTTGCACAGTAACTGCATTCCTTTGAAAGCTCACTGGCTACTTTAAACCATCCTGTGTTTTTTGCACAGGGACCTGCACATATCTATTTGTGATGTGATTGTTTTTGAGTTTTAAATTCTACATGTTAATGGCAAGAAATATTAGGGCTTAGCTGTATGTATTCAAATTTTGACTGTTTTAAACTTCTGCTATTTTTGAGGAAGTTGTAGAAGCATTGAACTTCCAAACAAAGAGTTATCCCTGATGAACATTTGAATAAAAGTTAATCTTGCTGTATAAGAAATATTTGCCACTCCCTTGTTTCTAAGATTAGGCCACGGTGTCCAAAGCAAATACTAATTGATCATAAAAATCTGACCTTGTAATTTGATCAAGAGAATGAATTCTTTTCAAAAACATGTTTACATCTCTTCTTGAAAAATGTCATTGGATTTCCCCCCACAGTCAGCCCAGTGCTTTGTCTTAAGTTCCTGTCTCCTGTAGATTTTTTTTCTTCCACTAATACAGGTTTCAACTCTATCTTAAATAGAAACTTACATATTTGATATACTATGTTTCCCCTAAAATAAGACCTGAAGAGCAAGCCTGATTTTTAGGGGTGGGCCTAATATATTATAAGCCCTACCCAAAAATAAGCCCAGGGGAAAGGGCATAGCCAGCACGATAGCCTGCCTCTTGGCACAGTGCAAATACCAATAAGTCCAAGCATGGAGGCAGAGGTGGGTGGGGAGAAGACAGGTGATCCGGATATGCTGTGTGGTTGCCTGACTCACGGGAGGCTTGCGGGGGGCTCATATGGAGGCATAGGCAGCAAGTGGAGACAGGGGCATGGGGTAGGCAGACAATCCCACTGCCCTGTGTGGATAGCTTTTCAGCATGCCAACAGGCAAGCCGAGAGATGGTGGGAAGGAGTGGGCGGTGCGTTGGGATCGCCACTGCCACCACCTGGCTGTGCTGCACACTTTTCACCCAGAGGGAGACAAAGCAATTTGCTCCATTCCCAAGCACTCCATAGGTGACCAAACATTTTGCCCGGACAGAGAAATGACAGAGACTCAAAAGCTTCATGTACTTGCAAAGAGGATGTGATTAGCTCCATTTCAAAGCATCCCTTTTCCAAACATACAAAGCTTCATCTCCCTCTGAGCAAAAAGTCTGGGCAGCTACCACCGGCCTCACCCTCTCTATCCCACTGTCTGCTTGCCCACAGTCTCAACCGGGGCCAAGTTCTCAGCACGTCCTGGCCTCCATCCATCCTGCCAGGTGGGCAAAGATTTCCTGCAAGGTGCTGTGGCCGAGAAGTGTCCTAGCAGCAGTTGGACCAGTAGGCAGGGCAGGTGGAGGCCGGGGCAGGCCGAGAGCTTGGCCCATTTCAGCCACGGGCAAGCAGACAATGGGATGGAGAGGGCAGGGCAGTGGGAGCTGTGGTCTTACTCCTGTTGCCCCCTGCTCTCGCCAACTCCTGTATTTAAAAAAAATAAAACCTCCCCCAAAATAAGCTTGAATGCTTATTTTCAAGCCCCCCCCCATAAGACCAGGTCTTATTTTCGGGAAAACATGGTACTACATGCCAAATATAGGAGATACAAGAAACAGCCTTACTGAGACTCAAAAATGTGCTTTTGTGTATTTATATGCATCTTTCCATTTCTACTTTGCCTAAACTGTGTAGACTCATGACAATAACTTTGCTTAATTCATGTTTGAATTGCAAATATGTATCAGTTTAATTCCTTTGGTGCGTATGAATTATCCACATTTTTATTATATTTAGATAAGGCAGTTGATTGCTGCACCTGGTAGCTTAAGCTTGTTTGCTGTACACATATATGCTGATTCTGCTGGGAATAAATCCTCCAAAAAGAACCTATTAAAAGTTGATGAGGTATGAATCCATCTTTTCTCTAAGTGATTTTCTTATTTAGCCATTATCTAATTTCAGAATGTAGATTTATAAATTAGATTTATTCTTTTCTAATGAAGTTATTCTTTTTTATGAAGGTGCATTGCAGTGTTGTAATGCTGCCTCATTGTGGTTTATGTAGCAGAATGTCCCATGTGGAGAACTCCCCAATACACACTTACCGTGTTTCCCCAAAAATAAGACCTGGTCTTATTTTCTTTTGGGCCCCATAACAAGCACACAGACTTATTTTCATGAAGTTCTTATTTTTGGATGTGGTTCCCTCTCCCTCTCTCCCTCTCCCCCCCCCCTCTCTCTCTCACGCACGCACGCACACACCACGTTCTTTCCTTGGGAGCCCTGCACAGATGTATATGCCAGGATTGCAAGGCTGAAGGCTTTGATGAAACATTTTGGGGATGTACTTCCCTGCACAGGAAAGAAGGCGGTTTGCTCCAAAGCTATGGCTGAGCATTGCACTGGGAGGCCTGCACGGTTAATACCGGTATTGAATTGCGTGTTTTGCTTCAGTGAAAGGGGTGCAGGCAGGGGGTTCAGCAACCATGGAAGACGGGGTTTGGGGGTGCAAAGGAGGAAGGGGAAATCTCCATCCTGCTGCAGGGCCGTCATGAAGCTTGTGCAGGGCATTGCGACCCTTGGCGAAGGAGGCCCAGGCAGGCCGGTGACTGGAGAAGTGCTCTGGATATCTGGGCCAGGTTGCCTGGCCCCCGCTGGCGCAACTGATCCACAGGCCTCAATTAAGAGGACGAGCCTCCATGAGGTGACGGGAAAGGGAAGGACTGCCTCCTGTGCTGGCCATGCCTATCCCTTCACTGGGGCTTATTTTGGGGGTTGGCCTTATACTACCCCCCCAAATCAGGCTAGGCCGTACTTTTGGGGTAGGTCATATTTTCAGGGAAACACGGTATTAGAACATAAGTAGTAACTATATACTGCTATTTACAGCTTTCACTCTATACAAATCCATCACCAAAATCAAAGTATGTGGAAGATCCAGAGTCACAACTGGAAGGAAGTATTTCTCATCTGCGGCAATCTTTGGCGCCATATGCAGCTTGGGTTCAGGTATAGTATTCAATTTTGTTACCGTCCCAAGGAGTGAATAATTGGTATAAGCATGCAGCTTTTATTGCAGAAATTATATGAGTAGAACCTGTTTCTCTTGCAATCTAAACTGTAAACACAATAATTTCAGTGTTATTACTTTGACAACTTAGTTATTTTGGTGGTAACCAATCTTGTCGGATCTCACAAATTTAATCAGGGTTGGATTAAAAATGCCAGGGCCTGTGTGGTTTACACTGGGAAGACCAAGAAATATCCCATACTTAAGTTGCTTTGGAAGAAATGCTGCAATCTTTTAACACACTAATGGTTATTTCAACTTTGCCCTCTTCAGGACTGTACTGGGAAAGCTATGCCTAAGGTAGAAAAGGCCTGTGAATATGTTAAAGGTGAGAGCATGTTTCCAGAAATTAGCATTTTGGAAATATTATAATATACTGTTATGTGCTTGTGTTCCTGTACATATTTTTAAAGTACTGTAACTTCATTATTCAATCTGCTTACGTTCCCGCTGCCGATGATTGTTTTATAAATAAGGTCACATGCCACCCTTCTGGTAAGAGTAGAAGGAGACTTAAAAAGGTTATTTGGAAGATATTTTCTATAATTAGATTTCAGATATCTAAATTCGTTTTAGATATAGGCATTCATAGTGAAAGTAAATTAAGGTTTGTATAATTGAAAATACCATTTGGGATCCTGTAAAGGTAAAGGTAAAGGTTCCCCTCGCACATATGTGCTAGTCATTCCCGACTCTAGTATTTTTTTAAAATGCTATTTAATGTCTATTTGAACAGTTCCAGACCCCAATACCTCTCTTTCTCTCTCTCTTAACATTTCCCTGGCATATATTTTTCTATTGACTAATTATAACAGGCCATAACATTCTTTCAGATAATTTCACTAGGTTGCTTTTTGAGCAAAAAATATGTGTAGGCCACTTTAATAACATGAGGGTTGGAGGTGAGTGATAAGGAAAAATTCTTAGGAATTCCATGATATAGGTAATCCTTGCTGAACATCGATTTCTTGAGTTACCATTTAAAACTGTTTTAACAGAGAAGTTAGTAATCTACAGGCTCCTCCATAATTTCAGCAAGTACAGATAATCCTTGCTTACCAATTACTTATTCAGCAACCATTCAGAGTTATGATGGGGCTGAAAATAAACTTTATAGCCAATTTAAGACAATTTATGACTTTTACAATGTCTCTCAATCAGTGCTTCATTTACATATTACATATGTATGGCAATATGCATTGTCCTATGCCTGATTTGTGTTATTTTCTCCTTCAAAGTGGGTAGATTGAAGAGGAAGAGATTACAAAAGAGTAAACTATTTGCTCTTCCACACATCAAAAGGAATAAATTGCATTGACAGCCTAAAACGGGCGCACTACGCAAATACCTTACTCTCCTTAAATCCTTTACTCTCCTATCTCACCACTCTGAGAGGGTGCAGTAAAAAAATGCACACAATTTCTTTAAGCAATGTCTTATTCATTAACCTCCCTCCTCTCAAAGAGCATACATTGAATAGGAAAGGTTTTCAAGAAAGTAATGTATAATATACTGTATTTACTTGTATGATAAAGTATGTCAATCTAGTAAAAAGTCTAAAACTTGATCAAAATTTTAAATGTCTTAATCTGAATGCAAAAAAAATAAATTACATTTTAATTACATTTAATTACATTTTTTAAAAAAATCCAGTCTAAACTTCAGGAAATTCCAAGGGAACAAACAGCTTTTTAAATAAATAAATAAAAAAAACCTACCCCATACAGTTACATTCAAATGTAATGCTAACCTGGGAAATGGATCTTGATATGCTAATTACCAATGAATAGTGGCAACAGTAAAGAATAGGGAAAACAAAAGAACCAATTGTTAATATTTGACTATGGCAGGTGTACCTGATTCAAATCCCAATTAAACATAAAAGTTGATTGATACTTCTTAGTCAGTCATTGTTTTTTTTAGTTTAATCTATCAACAAGATTGTCACAAGGACAACATGCAAATATATTTCTAATTAATATACCTTTATTATATTCAATATCAATATATCAAATGTATTTCTAATTTTGTAATTGGCTATTGATAGCTAAACATAAAAATAATCATTTAAAGTCTGGAATAATATTTAAATGCTCTAGTAAATAATTATAAATAGGTAATGTAATACTGTTTTTTTTTAAGAGAGTTATGAAATCATCAAAGCTCCATCTCCAGGATTTTATCCAAGGCTTGGTGTTATAGGTTTTGCTGGTATTATTGGATTGTTCTTGGCAAGAGGTATGTTTGTTTTTCAATGTTTGTTCAAATGTTGGTGTCCATTTTCTCTTTCATCAAGGCAGAAACTAAACTGCGATATACAATTAATTGATACTGTGATGCTCAACCAGAGTGTTACCATCATTAAACTACAAATAAAAATTTAAACACATCAATGTTAGAATTTATTTAGAATATGCTCAACATGTTTTAGACAAGAGGACAATGTATAATACAGGTGTAAAAATGCCTATTACAAACCAACAGCTGTACCAATTCAAAAGTAAATTCCATTAAGGAACATGATGATTATGCATTTAATGACTCCTTTTTATACAATGAGAATATACATATACACATTACATAAATCATGATCCTCTTTTAAAGCCATCAATTACTATATATATAATAGACATACATCAGAAATAAACATTGTTTTCATATTGTTGCAGAATTCGTATGTTAAAGATCATGGCTTAGCTATAAGATACATGTTGTATATGGTATAAGTTTTCAGTCTCTGGTAGATGAAGTAGAGATAGAAAAGAATTCTGACTAAACCTTGTCTCTGCTATTAATCAGACATCCTTCTGGCTAGATTGATAAATGAATAATGACACAAAATAAGCACTGGTTATTCATAAACAGCATTTAATTACTAGAGCAAGTCTTTATTGTTGAATCAATCTATGTGGCTAGACAATATGTACTTTTCAAGATGTTTTAGAATTTGGAGACTGAATTATAAATTAAGAATATGTGGGTAAGGTCTTTCAATGACCAAAGCCAGGCTTGCATCATCTTGCTACAGTGTTTAGTAGTCCTTTGCTCTTCACTATCCTGTTTTCCTATATCTTTATATCTAATTGTCATCATTTAACATACTTTCCCCAACCTACTTATTACCAAATTCATCTGGCTGAGAATCTGCACTTTTGGGAACACTGTGATGCAGTGACGCTGGAACTGCTGGCCAGAAATGGTCTGCACACTGGCGGTTCAAGCCCAGCTCTGTGAGACAGAATGAGCTTTTATCGCTTCCTCCCCAGCCCCTAACCACCTAGCAATTTGAAAGCATGCAATATTGCAAGTAGATAAATGGATACCACTATGATAGGAAAAACCTAGCTACATTTGTGTGTGCGATGAGGGGAAGCCGGCTCTGGACATAGCTCCAGGCTCCTCTGCTGGTCTCACCTCACCTCACCTAATGCAGCATTAGCTGAGGTGAGGTGAGATGACACCAGCAGAGGAGCCTGAAAGAGTCAGCAACCTGAACACCATTAGTCAGCTAGTATAAACTAGTTTGTCCCTTGTGGTGTACCAAGGATAGGCACGCGAGCACTAAACAGAATAAATTAGCAATTTAGGCTTTCAGGATTGCATTGTGTGTAGCATTTGTAGATTTTCCTGACATTGTGCCCCGTACTCTAAGTAAGTAAGTAAGCCCTTTTAATTTCATCTTATTCAGTATATCACACATTAGAAGTAACATTTCTTCTATGGAATAGGTTCTAAAATTAAAAGATTGGTGTATCCAATAAGCTTCGTGGGGATTGGTATTGCTGTCTACTATCCACAGCAAACAGTTGCTGTTGCCAAGGTAATTATTGAAAATAATCCTTATTTATATACCCTTATATTTTTTGAAATCTTGTAATTTTATTTAAATATTTAGTCCAAAGTGTTGGGTAAATATAGTGTAAATATAGACATGAGTGAATATGCCTGGGTACACACACATACAAACATAGTTGAGTCTACTTAGTCTCAGTCCATCATGATTTGTTGTTTATCCCAGTATATCAGTTAAGGAGATCTTAGGGATTTGCAAGTCTAATTCTTTTTATTAATGGATAATCCAGGAGACCAAATGTTTTTATTAGCACATATTTAATATCACTGTTTTTTCTACAGAGCCTCTTATGAAAAAACTTTGTAGGTTCCTGTAGTTTCTTTTCTCATCAATTATGTTTTCCTTTTCTTAGTAATGATGAAGACAGATTTTTTTACATAACTGAATAAAAATTGTTTTTTTTTATTTTATAAATGCTAAAATTAAGCTTGCACAAATAGCTTGATAGTGTTGCTCATGAAACAATGAAAATATTGGAATATCAAGTTGTAGCAGCTTTGTGAATTAATTTTATGGAATGCCTATTAAGTTTGTCTACTTAATCAGTTGCAGCTAAAAAAATACTTTAGCACTGTATAGCCATCCTTTCTTCAATATAATTTGATATAGTACAATATTTCCCAATGCTAAATACTGAACCATGGAACAAAGCTGTATATTGTCAGCTGTCCAGATAGCAAATTCAAAAAAAAAAGAACTCCTGGGACATTGTTCCTCCCAAAAAGTAAAACTTTATTGAATACACTACATTGGCAGTTTTGGCACAGAAGAAACAAAACCAGCTCTGAGTTTCCCACGTGTAAACCCACAGAGTTACACTTGCTTTTCCTCTTTGACCATTCAGTTCATTGCATTATCCAATTAAATCAGTTCCTTATTCAAATACCTGAGCAGCATGATCTTGGGGTTGGCAACAGGGTCTCTCACACTTCTCTAAATCATAGTTTTAGCTATGTCTGTTCACATTTTGTAACTAGGTAATTTGTTTTCTATTGAATCATAGCTTGAAAATATAAGGGTGTTTACACAAGGGGAAAATAGTCCTCTTCTCTATACAGATTTGAGGCCCCTCAAAAGCTTTCTGGAAATACTGCTTGTCAACATGGGATTAAGTGCAAGATGTTGCTATGTAAAATAGTCACAGGAATTTCTCTTTATTTTTGTAAGCAATAATTTAAAGCAAGATTTCTATTTATAATTTATTTCAAATTTGGTAAGACAGTCATATGCTTTTTTTGTTTTGTGCTACCTTTTCCAAATAAACCTCAACTATATACTTTATTTATATTATAACAAAGTCATACTGAGCAAAACTTGTGGCTGACCTATAAATTAACTTTTATGGTGGCACTGGAGAAATTGAAAATGTTGCAAAAATGGGAATATCAGTGTTTGTATATGATCAAGGTATCTTCATATAAGTTGAATAAAGTAGCAGTTATTTCTTGCTGTCTTGTTTACTTTATAATTATAGTTTTTTATCTTAATATCATGATTTATTATACTACTTACCTACTTAGAAATGTACTATTTCTTGAAGTTGATAAAGCCAAAGTATACCTCTTAAGATGACTATCATCATATCGCTGGTTTTTGAAAGGTAACTGGCCTTCGTCTCTATGACTGGAGTCTACAAGCATATATAAGCCTAGAATCTCTTTGGAAAGATAGTTCAAAAAAGGAAAAGTCTGCAAAAGCAAGTAGCAAGGTATGGTATCTGAGATGTTTTTTTTTTCATGATGAGTTTGTTTTGATGGTTCTTGGCTTTTTTGTTTTGATTTGGCATGTACTTCTTATTTCTGCTTATTTGTTCTTATATTATAGTTATAAAAGCTATGCAGGGATAAACACAAGCTATTATATGCTGGTTCCACAAGCTTCAGTAATATTTAGGTAAAGCCTGAAGACCTGACTCTGCCATTTGGCCTGAGATCTATTAGGGCAGGGGTCCCCAACCCCTGAGCCTTGGCCCAAAACTACGCTGCAGCCCATTTGAAATGGGGCTGCACAAGTGGCAAACGTCTAGATAACTTCAGTATGCTTTGGACTACAACTCCCTTGCCATTGCCTATGCTGGATTTACTAATGGCAGTTGTATATTATAGCAACTATAGAACATGAGTTTTATTCACTCTGTGTTAGTTGATCATTACAATTGGAGATTGTAATTGGAGAAATCATAAATCTTTAAATTTTTGTCTTGCAAGTCTCTCTAAGCCAGAAGAGGACATGATAAAGTTTATGTTGCCAATGTATAACAGAATAACAGAGTTGTAAGGGACCTTGTTGGTCATTTAGTTTAACCCGCTGCCAAAGCAGCATACGGTATAACCATGATGGTAAACCTATGGCACATGTACTGGAAGTTAACTGCTTTTGTAGAGTTCCCACGCGAGTGTGCTAGGGAGCTGCTCTTTTGGTTTCTGGCACTCCCCCACGCGCTCCTGTTTCGGCACTCGGTGCTCAAAAAGCTTGTCAACCCTGCCCTATACCATTTCTGACAGATGGCTGTCCAATCTCTTCTTGAAAGCTTCCAGTGATGAAACACCCACAACTTCTGAAGGCAAGCTGTTCCATCGGTTGATTGTTCTCACTGCCAGAAAATTTCTCCTTATTTCTAGGTTAAATCTCTCCTTGATCAGTTTCATCCATTATTCCTTGTCTGGCCTTCAGTTGCTTTTGAAAATAGGTTGACCCCCTCCTCTCTGTGACAGCCCCTCAAATATTGGAACACTATTATCATGTCACCACTGGTACTTCTCTTCACTAGACTAGCCATGCCCATTTCCTGCAACCATTCTTTGTGTTTTAGCCTCCAGTTCCCTAATCATCCTTGTTGCTCTTCTCTGTACTCTTTCTAGAGTCTCAGCATCTCATTCATAGTATGGTGAGCAAAACTACATTTATTGCTATTAAGCATGGTTTTTCCTAGTCTATGTGTACTATGTGTACTTTTGGTTTTTCTTGCCTAAGTGTAAAAAGTGTAAGTTTACTTTTCTCTACATTGAATTTCATTTTTTTAGTTAGGGCCCAGTGTTCAAATCTGTCAAAATCCATTTGGATCTTGAGCCTATCTAGGGGAGTGTTGGCGAACCTTTTCAGTACTGAGTGCTGTGTGCACGTGCCAGAAACCAGAAGAGATAATCGTCTGATTTCTGGCAAGCACATACGCACCGGCCACCTGGTTTTCTGGTTTCTGCACGCATGTGCGCTGGCCACTTGATCTTCCAGTTTCTGGCATGCATGTATGTGCAAACTCCAGCTGGCCAATGTCCATGCGTGTTCCAGAAACCGGAAGAACAGCTGCCTGCTGTGCATGCGCGCACCGGGAAAGTGATATTCCAGTTTCTGGTGCATGCATGCTTGCTGGTCAGCTGGATTTTGCATGTGCATGCGTGCCAGAAACTGGAAGACCAGGTGGCCGGTGCATGCTAGAAACCAGAAGATCATCTTCCCGGTGCGCATATGCACATGTTCTTCCGGTTTCCGGTGCTCCCATGCACGTGAACACCAGCTGGCTAACATGCCAGAACCTGGAAGAACAACAGGCAATGGCTCGCATGCCCGGAGAGATGGCTCTGTATGCCATTTCCAGCATGCGTGCCATAAGTTTGCCACCACAGTTATAGGATGTTAGCTATTCCCGTCAGTTTAGCATCATCTGCAAATTTTATGAGTTCCCCTTCTATTCCCTTATCTATGAAGATATTGAAGAGTACTTGGCCTAAGGTGAAATCATGTTGTACCCCACTATTTACTTCCCTCACAGTAGACATAATATCATTAAGAACTACCCGTTGAATATGGTTTGTTAGCCAGTTACAAATCCATCTGATGGGGATATCTATCCCACTTTTTTCTAGCTTACCAAGAAGTAGGTTGTGTTCTACTTTTTTGAATGCCATGATGAAATCTAAGTATACTATGTCCACAGCATTTTGCCACTGTACTAATTTAGTTACTATATGAAAGAATGAAATAAAATTGATTTGGCATAACAAACCCGTGCTGACTTCTAGTTATTACTTTACTCATTTCTAGATGTTCCCAGATCTGTTTTTTGATTATCTTTTCCGGTATCTTCCCTGGTATTGATGTTAGGCTGATTGGTCTGTAGTTTCCAGGATCTCTTTTTTTTTCCTCCTTTTTTGAAGATGGGAACCACATCAGCTCTTTTCCAGTCCTCTGGTAGTTCCCCGGTGCTTCAGAATTTTGGAAAGATGGTAGAGTGGTTCTCAATGACATCCGTCAACTCCTTTAGAACTCTGGGATGTAATCTAGGCCTCAGTGATTTATTTTCATCAAGATCAGACAGGTGTTCTCTTACCACTTTTTTTTGCTTATTTTAACTTTTATTTCTAGTCTGTCTTTTACATTATGTTTTTGGTAGATTAAGCTATAGTTTCTTTTGCATGAAGACGGTTGCAAAGAATAAGTTAAGCAGCTCTGCTTTCCCTTTGCTGCCTGTTACTTAGCTACCATCATCTCTCTTTAATGGACTGTTTCCTTGATTTTTTTTTCTTGTTATTTATGTATTGAAAGAAACTTTTTAAAATTATCTTTGACCTTTGTTGCAAGTCTTTGTTCATTCTGAGACTTTGCTTTCCTGACTTTGTTTTTGTAGATTCTGGCTGATCGGCTGATATTCTGCCTTAATTATGTGTCCCTCTTTTTATTTTTTGTACCTTTTTGTCTTTTAATTTGTCAGAGAAATCTTTGTGCAGCCTTGCTGGTTTCTTCTTGGGTTTCTTCTTTTTGTTTTTCAGTGCTATTCTGCTGGACTGGGCTTTTATGATCATATTTTTCAGAGTTTCCCAAGCTTCTTGAGTTGTTTTCCCCTTTAGGGTTTTCACCCAAGAATTTTTCCCAAGTTCTCTCGATGAAATCAGATCTTTTAAAATCTAAGACTCTGGTATCATTATATTATATTGCTTGTGTTTGCATTATGTTGAATTCCAATATGACATGGTCACTGTCACCCAAGGTTCCTGTAATTTCAACTTCCTCTATCACTTCTTCTCTGTTTGAGATAAGTAAATCCAGTATGGCTCTGTCCCTCTAGTTCCCTCCTCTATCTTTTGACAACAAACCTTGGTTGGTCAGGAATCTATTCGATTTCTCACTTGGTGCAGAATTCCAATTAATGTCAGGGTAATTGAAGTCCCCATTACTATTACCCCTATTACTATAATACTATATACTATTGTCCTCCAGGGAAAGTTTGAAGGGAAATGAGGTCCAGGCAGAAGAAGAACATCATAGCTTCAAAATCTAAGGAACTGCTTTGGACAAAACTCAACAGTACTTTTTTGTGCGGCTGTTGATAAAAATAGGATTGCCAACATGATTGCCAACATGATATCCATCTGATGATGGATATGGCACAAGAAGAAGATTACTATTGTAGTGTTTTTCCTACATATATTTGTTAATTGGTTAGCAAAAAAATACATCTATTTTTTCTCCTTGGTTGGGTGGCATGTAGTATATGCCTATGGCAATGTCATTCATTTTTTTCTTTTATATTGACCCATATGCATTCTAGGAGGTTTTCATCTTTGGTTTTGTACATTTTTGTAGCAATATAGTGGTCTTTTATATATAGTGTAATTCCACCCCCTGTTTTATGGGGTCTGGGTTTTTTGAACAGTTGTATCCTTCTATTAGTATGTTCCAGTCATGGGTTTCATTCCACCAAGTTTTAGTGATTCCAACTATATCATATCTACCTTCATGTATTAATAATTCAAGTTCATCCTGTTTGTTCCCCAAACTTTGTGCATTTGAGATCTTTATCTCTGACTCTGGGTATGCTTTCTATGTCTCCTATTTGATGCTTGTGTTTGTCTTCCTTCCCATCCCTCCTTTGCCTCATTATTTGATTTTTTTTCTAGGGCTTTTTGCTTGGAATTAGATCCGGAAGATCCTAAAGTTTGGCCACTTTCTCCCCTCAATTTTAGTTTAAAGCCCTCCTGATAAGTTGAGCCAGTTGCTTTCTGAAAACATGCTTCTCAGTTTTTGTGATGTGTAGCCCATCCCTTGCCAAAAGCCCATCATGGAGGTAGTGCAGAGCATGGTCCAGGAATCCAAAGTTCTTTTGGGAACACCAACCCTTTAGCCAGTGGTTCACTTCTAGAATCCTTTGTTCTTTTACTGGATGTTGACCTTGCATTGGCAGTACAGATGAAAAAATACGTGTGCACCTAACTCCTTAACTTTCTTGCCTAGCTGCTTGTTCACTCAATATTGTTTTCAGGTCCATTTTCATGTCATTTGTCTCTTTCTAGAAAAAGACAGTAATCTATGGGTTTTATTATTTTGGTTAGGTTCTCAGCCACATCCCTGATTTTTGCTCCATGGAGACAACATACCTCTGTGGATTGACTGTCTGGTCTACAGATGGCTGGTTCTGTTCCCTTAAGAATTGAATCTCCTATCACCAACACTCACCTTTTTTTTTCTTAGGGAGGTTTGGGGTAATTTTCTACCTGTCACCGAAGCACTTGATGATCCTACTTTTTAAGGGACATTTGATGATGCTTCTTTTCTAGGGTCTGCATGTTTTCTTCCAGTTTTCTTCCAGAAAACTGGATTTTTCTTTACATTTTCTATGAAATCGATTGCTCAGCACCAGTGGAACTGCATCAGAATGGGTTGGGTTGGACAGGGACTTTGTACTAGGTTTGTGTTTTTTTTCTATGAGTGACATGTATTAGTCTCCAGAGCAATGTCCCCATACCTCCTGAGATTAAAATGAAATAAATCAGTGTGATCAATATATAATCTGAAAAGTTTGCTAACTCCCATTTTATTACTAAAATAAATGCAGACACTTTCCTTTTAATACGCAATACTGTCTTGTTTTTTAACCTAAGTTTATCATTTACTCAGATATCTGACGATTTATCTCAAAAGATTTTTTTTTGTCCACAGGCAAAGTTACATAATCAAAGGAGCCACTTTATGTTCCCCCCCAAAAATCCAAGCCCACATACTAGTTTTTTCTCAAATATTCCAAAATCCATGCTTAGGAGAAATAAAAATTAGCTACCATCTTAACATGAACATATAGAATCTGAGATGTTAAATATTTCAGGAAGTAATTTTGTAAGACTTTCTTTCTTGGTTATCTATCAATTAACTTTTTTTCTAAATAACTTCAATCGGTATTTTTTTTAAATGCCCTTGTTCATTAAGTCCGATGCAGAAAGTGATAAAGACTTGAAAGTACAAGAAGAAAAAGCAGTAAAATAAAATGCTCCATTGCTACTTGTTAAACAGGTAAAAAAAAGCAAGCATATACTGTTCTTAGGACAAAATTATAGTGTTAAAATTGTACTCTTTATAAGGAATACCAATGACAGAATAAAGGTCCACTTAGTGCTATCATTCCACTTGTTAATTAGAATATTATTAGAACAATTTGGAGCAGAATTCAGAAATATTTATTTTTATTCTAACAATTAATTAGAAACAATAAAAATAAATATTTCTGAATTCTGCTCCAAATTGTTCTAATATTCTAATTAACAAGTGGAATAATTTAATACACACGCCAAATCAAACTAATTCACTATATATAGATGAGCAATTTTAGTTGATCAGAAACTGTCCACTTTGCATACAGAAAGTATATACTAAATCATAAGACTATCTAGTTAAAAGAAATTATTTGAGGTGCTTTATAATATTAGTAGAGCAACAATTAAGACCTATGAACAATTAGAATAGATGAAAATAGTCTAAATAGTATACATTTAAACATGCTGAATTCTTCTTGCGCAATTCCCTATGCATTTGGATTAGGTAGTTCAGTGACCTTTGATGGTGATCTGGCTTTTGTAGGGAGGGTTATTATTTAACCAAGTTACCATGGGGTTATATTGTTACAAAGGTTTTAATCTTTGTATATTGCCCAGAATAATTGCTGTGAAAGTGTGGCTCTATAAATCATTTAAGTAAATAAATAACTCCCCCCCTCCATTTTTCCACCATAGCTGTTAGCAGTTTAAAATTTTCCATTTAATGGCTGTTGTTAAACATGCTGCCCTCCAAACAACTTTATAAACTAGGGATACAGTACAGGGCGGGGCATAACCTTTTCCTAGGGGGTCACAGCAAGATCGACAGCAGTTTACAACTTCCGCGACACCTCATTTTAAAGCCCATAAAAAACTGAATTGAATGAGCTATTAAATGTTAAATTTGCTTTAAGAATGGCTGGAAAATTCGATTCGAAAATGCAAATGCGACTCAGCAATTGTTAAAGGAAAACAATGTCGAATTTTGGGGCAATGACGTCTGGCCGGGAAATTCGCCAGATCTCAATCCGGCAGAGAACATTGGGGCCATAATTAAGGATTAAGGATGAAGTGGAAGCTCTGATGATTCAGGAGCAAGGTCAAAATCGATATTCGGTTGAAACTTTGAGAATGAATTTGGAAACTGTGTTGAAAAATCTGGAAAATCGAACGGAACTGTTTGAAGATTTGTTGTGTTCTTATCCACCTCGTTTGAATGCTGTTCGAAGGGCTAATGGTGGTCATACTGACTATTAAATCGTGTCAATAAACTCAGTTTTTGATGGGCTTTCGAATGGTGTATGAATTATTTGTGTTGTTATTACAAGTGTTGCTGTGACCCCCTAGGAAAAGGTTATGCCCCGCCCTGTAGTTGAGAATGCGTTTTTCAGATTTGGCCATCATATTCACTTGAATTATTACATTTACAGTATATCCTGCCTTTTGGTCAGGAGCTCAAGGTGATATCCCTATCGCTTCCTCCTCCAACTTTCCTCCATAAAAACTGTTGTGTGAGCTAAGTTGGAAAGAAAGAGAGCAAGTGACTGGTCCAACTCACCCATAGAGCTTCCATGACTGAGAGCAAACTTGAACCTGGCTTTCTGTAGTCAAATACATACAGTTCTAAACCAATATATCACAGTGCATTATAATTTACAGAATGGTATGCTATGATTCATGTAAAGTTGAAGCAAGAGCTTTTAAATCCTCCTTGACAACCTTGCTAGGAAAAAAGAGAAGAAATATACAAACCTGCTAGGAAGAAAGTGAAGAAATATGCAAACTCAGAGTGAGATTAGTGGTTAGACTTGTTTTCTTATTGCTGACTTTTTAAAACTTAATGTCCATTGTTTGCCTTGTTGGTTTGATTGGATTTTAGAAAAAATGTTTTTTTTAATCAATAAAGTTAGATTAAATTTTATTTATTTATAAATATGTTGAGAAAGCAAACATGCCAATAGGGCTACTTTAAAAACCATTAACTGTGTTTTATTGCTGAAGTTATCTTTTCTGATAATTTCAAAGATATGGTAACATGCACAGTTTTTTTAAATTACAATGATAATTATAACTCTGTAAAGCAGGGATGTCAAACTGGATTTCTTTGAGGGCTGGATCAGCATTGTAGATCTCCGTGGGCCAGCGGGGGAGATGGGATGGCCCCTTCTGCCCCATTTACAGCCTCCTGCAGCACTTTACCAGTTAAAATGGGGTGCATGGGGCACCTGTGGCCACATGTGCCTCGTTTTCGCCCGTTATGGCCTTCAGTAGCACTCGGCCAGCCAAAAACAGGCCGCATGGAAGTCTCACAAGACCTCTGCACAGCCCATTTTTGGCCGGCAGAATTCTGCAAGAGGTCGGGGAGACCAAAAACGGGCTGCCTGATGGGGGGAGGGGGAGCATGTGGCCTGTTTTGGCCAGCAGAAGCACTGCAGGCTTGTCCTTTGATATTTCCAGGCCAGCCCCACAGACCAGATTTAAGCATCTTATGGGACGGATTTGGCCCGCAGGCCTTGAATTTGACACCCCTTCTGTAAAGGCTTAACTTTTAAAATAAGAATTAGGATATAAATTCTGCTATGCTGTTCAATGGGAGAAATCATACTTTGGCTTCTCCAGGAAAAATACTTTTCAGACAGAGAACTAGTTGATGCCAGTTGGAAAAGATACATTGAACAACTTGGAGAAGAAACTGATCCACATGTTTCCCATGTTGCCATTCATGCAATAATTCTTGTTATTGTAAACAAACAAAAAACTTCTATCCATCGAGTAATGATATTTACAGATTATTCAAAATACCAGTGTGTGTCTCTTTAACATCAAATAGGAATCTGGTTCTACTCTTTTGAGACTCAGAAAATCTCAAGGGTACTACCGTATCTCTAAAGGTCAAACCTAAAGGCTAGCAGACAAATAACTGCTGCAGAGTCTAAATACAAGGCAAACAAGCAGTAAGAACACAAAAATATAAAACCATTTATTTAACTCTGTATTTACATATTTAGGAAAACATTTTCATTTGTATTCCTTGTACATGATATGGCTATGTTTCTCTAGTTCATTTCTATTCTATGCATTATGTATCACAATCCACTTTATCAACCTGCTTATAGAATTAGCCACTCTAGTTGTTCTGCTGACCTTATTCAACCTTACTTTTTTCTAAGAAGCAGTGATGGGCTTTCTTTTTTCCATACTGAAACTGTATCTTTACTTCCCATGTGCTCGAAGTATTCTGAGTAATTAAAATAATACAGGCCTAGAGGAACAAATGAAATACTTCCTTCCATCCATCCATCAATGTGAAACTAGGGCTTTTTTCAATTGGAAAATAGTACAGAAAAGCAGAAATTTCTTCATACTGCTCCTGAATAATTCTGTCACATTTTTCTATTAAGTCAGAATTTAACTTTTGCCAGTCTGATTTCCGTGAATGTATAAAGATGTAAAAGATTTGTTGCATTCCAGATTACTATAAACCATATTTGAATATCCTAGAACAGGGATGGTGAGAATGTACTTCAAGATAATCTAACTTATATCATTATTCTTTTGAATATAGATGGATAGAAAACATGGAAATTAACACTTTTTTTAAAATTACAGAATCTATGAAGATGGAACACAGTTTGCCACTGTCTTCGCTTTGGAAAGATTGGTAAAGCTGTCGAATAAGAAATACTATGATTGTGTTCTGCCAGCTTTGGACTTATGGTCAAAGTTCTGCATGATTATCTTAAGCTCCTTCGAGACCTGAGTCTCTCTCTGAATTCCTGAGCAATACTTGCAAAGAAATATGTTTAATTAAATTTAATGAGATGTAATGCTACATAAATGTTTAAGATTAGGCTGCAAATTAATGTCAAAACGTCTTAGTCTCTTGTCACTGTTTGTAAGCTTAATTAAAATGAATATTGAAAAAACATTTATCTCTTTGTTTTTCTTCTATTAATTACATTGTGCTATCTTACTAGCATTCGTATAGAAAGTTAAGAGAAAATGAATAACATTTTTGGTAAGCAACAAAGGTAACTTGTCTTGTCAAAGTTGGTAGGGGTAAAAAAAATAAAAATTACAATAGGTTGTCTGAACTTTCCCCCGAAATGGGAGTTGAAGTGAACAGTGCTTGTCTGCCTGCTTCTTATACTCTTCTGTCGTGTCTGTCAGTGCCTTTTTAGTATTTTTCCACCCCTTTTTCAGAGAATCCATCATTCTGATAAAGACATTGAAGAGGGGAGGGGTTCTCTGGGCAATTCGGACATGGGGACAAATGCCATGCCACTGGTAACTTGGAAAGGAGTCAATCTGGTGCTGCTATGCACTACATTGTTGTAAGCCACTTCTGCAAATGGTAACAGATTGGACCAATTTTCTTGTTGGTAATCCACATAGCAACATATATATTGTTCCATCATTGTGTTCGCTTGTTCTGCTGCACCGTTCGTACTCAGATGGTTGGACTAGAAGACCTTCAAGGTCCCTTCCAACTCCGTTATTTTATTCTATTCTAAATTGGACTCCTTGATCAGAGATGATTAGCTGGCGTACTCTGTGCAGGTGGTAGATGTGTTTGATGAATAGCTTAGCTAGCTTCTTTGCTGAAGGCAGTCCAGAGCAAGCAATAAAGTGGACTTGCTTGGAAAATAAATCTATTATTGTCCAGATTATGGTGTCTCCCCCACTTTCTGGGATCTCAACTATAAAGTCCATTGCAATTCCAAGATCTACTGGGGCTTGCCACTTGCTGAAGGAGTCCAGGGAGATTTCCTGGTCTCATTTTCAGGGCAGCACACATGGCACAGCTCTTTACGTAGTTTTCCACATCTTAGGCCATCAGAATTCTCATCTAGTGAGTTGCAGTGTTTTCAGGAATCCAAAATGGCCAGCTAGCTTTGAGTCATGGCTGCATTGTAATACCTCCAGTCTCAAGCTTTCAGGGATGTACAGTTGGGATCCCTTCCAGGCTAGTCCATCCCTTGTAGTCAGGACATCCTTATTGTCAGTGAGCCAGAGGTCAGCGGGTGGTGCGGCTTTCAATGTGGCTGTCAGCTTATCCTGGCTGGGGTCGGGAGGCTGCCTGGTTTGGCCTTGGGTGGTGACTTGCACTGCTGGTTGTGCAGGAGGGATGATCGCATGGATCACTTCTTCCCAGCGGCTTTCAAATTGCGGTTTTCTTGACAAGGCATCTGCTAACATTTTTTTTCCTGCTGGGATATACTTTAGTTCAAATTTGAATCGTCTAAAGTACTATGCCCAGCGGACTTGTTTGGGAAGTAATTTTCTGGGGGTTTTCAGAGCTTCGAGGTTTTTATGATCAGTCCAGACTCCGAAAGTTATTTTCCCCCTTCTAGGAAATGTCTCCATAAGAGCAGGGCCCAGCGGACTGCGGAGACTTCTTTCTCCCAAATGGCCCATCGTCTTTTGGTGTCAGTGAGCTTTTTGGACACGTAGACACAAGACAGGAATTGTCCTTTTGGATCCCTTTGCAGAAGCACTGCTGCCATGGCTACGTCGCTGGCATCTGCCTGAATTATGAATTGTTGCTCTGGATACAGGTGTTGCAAAATTGGCTCTTGGGCAAAGAGCCTTTTTAACTTTTCAAAGGCTTTTTGACAGTCTATTGTCCAAGCAAGCAGCTGGGTTGGCTTTTCCTTCATCAGCAGGGACCCCGTTTTCAACGGTTCTGTTAGGGGCAGGGCAACCTCTGCAAAAGCTGGGCTGAATTGCCTGCAGCAGTTGGCAAACCCCAGGAAGCTCTAAAGTTGTCTCCACCCCTCTGCTGGATATCCTATGTAATCTAGGGAAGTTTTGTGGAATTCACACTTTAACAGTTTTGCGTAAAGTTTGGCGGCAAGGGGTTTCTTCAGTACTTACCATACCAGCTCTCGGCTTGTCTAGGCCTGCCTCCTGGGTGAGGAACAAAAAGCTAGGATTTGGTAAAAGCAAAGAGCTTTCTTTAATCCAATAACAAGACAGAGCCTTAGAACACAGTGAGTACTTTTTTTTAATTAAAAGGTTGTTTTATTTTTATTTTTCAAAACAGACACAACACAAAAGATCCTCTTTCTTTATATACTGTAGAAAGTGTATCAGTTGGTTACCAAAAGTTTTTATGCATTTCTTTCACAGTCACCCATGATTCATATTAATTCTAGTATTTTAAATCAAATATATTTGTATATATTGCCATCATCCTACCCCCATTCTCATTTGATTATAATTGTTTAAATGTCCATCATAAAACATACCAAAACTCAAGACATAACCACATACTGGCATCTCATTTGCTATTTCTAGTATCTCAGTAACACTATTCCTTATGGTCTATTCTAGCTAAACATCAATAACATTTAGTAATAAAGGTTTCTAATCTTCCTTTCCAAATCACTCTTTACAATTTGCATCCAATTTCCCCATGTTGCACCCATACCTATATATATATTGTTATCATTATCTCTCCTTTATTTGACTTTATCCATTATCATAATTTAGTTTTTTTATATTAATCTTTATATGTAACCAAACAATTTCTCATCTTCCTTTCATAGGTACTATTCAATATTCATATCCAATTACTACTTGTTAT